GGAGCACCTTCAGGGATGGCGTGAGGGGGAAAGGGGCAGAAGTTCCTCTGATTGCGTTAGACCTCATAAGAGTCAAAATACGGTGCCTCCAGCAACATGGAGACATTGGTTTTATCAGCTGTCAATCAATTATGAGCATGGCAGAGGAGTGCTGCAATATAATAGGCATATCATTTCGGGTAGGCTAAACCCCATTGCATTCATGGCCTCTGAAATACTGACAACCTAAACTGAGGTTGACGCGACCCCACAGGAAGGAGACAACAGCAGAGTGAAATTGTTTAAAGTATTGCCGTGGAATCCACACCAGAGTGTGGCGCAGAATGTGTAATAATTAGGGGAGTATCTTCATTTTGCGCAGGTTAATTTTTCCTATAGGAATCAGGGAGATTGTCCCACGCCTTCATGCACTACTTTATTGTGCTCAACAGAGGTAGGAGGTTCAGGGAGCAGTAGTCAGAAACCCTGGAAGAAACCTCCACACCAAGGTATTTAGTCGATGCCATACATTTCAAGGGCAAGGTGGGGTCAGCCACTGCACTGGCACCCATATCTCTGGGATCTGTCCTAATTGACTTTTAAGCCCAATAAAGGATTAATGGAGGAAATTAGGGCAAGGGCTACAAACTGTAGACTTAATGACTTGTGGTTGAGGAAATAAAAAGGTGGTTGAAGTGCAGTTTTACCAACTCCTGACTGTCCTCCCTGTACTACAATGTTTTTGTCATATCTAAAGCTGGCATTACACATATAGAATGTTTGGATGAAAAATGATAAAAATTGCTTTACCTACTATTCACTGGTGCCTTCAAGGGCTCAACTAATTTTGAATGACAAAAATTTACCATCCTTATCCTTTGAGGGTTTTTTGGTCAAAATTGATTGTCACATTGTCCCTTTTAACTCTTAGCACACAAGGGCCGAATATTGTTCGAAATCAGCCGTTACAGTATTAACTGGCATGTGTCCCCGACAGCTTGTCCGATAGAAGCTGATCCAACGACTGGCTTTTGTCGAATGAGCATGCTGGAAAACGAGCAGCCAACCAGCATCTGATCATCTGACCAGAGCTCTCAGCTAATGGCTCTGAGCGCTGAACAGTGTGTCCCGGCGAGGGGGCGGTCCCCCCTGACAGTACACAATAGCACAGTGGGGAGATAGCTCTACTAATGTCGATTGCAATAGCACAGCAATCTGGCAGATTTTTTTTCGTTCAACTCCTTGAGTTGAACAAAAAATAACCCCAAAAAACTTGTAGTGTGTATTTGATTGTACAATTTCCTAAAAATCTATTAACACAGTATGCAAACAGACAGGTCCCTGCACTATGTAGTTGATGATAGATCTAAAGAATAAACAATCAGATGGTATAGCAGTGTATTGCCATCTTTAAACTGGCCCTTCACTATATAATCTGGTTTTCAAATAATATTCAGTCATGCAGACCCATATACTACATAGCTTAATATAGATCTATTGGAAATAGTACAATCAGATTGTATAGTGTATGGCCACCTTCAGACAGTTAAACAAAAGTTCTGAAAACTGTAATTTTCTACTAAACTTTTACAGATGTAAGGCCAGCTTTAGGCATGCTGTACACAGTACAGTCTGACCACACAATCATTGTACAATCAGCTTTAGACCTACCAAAACCATGTAAAATCTACCTGATCTAATAAATGAAAATATAACTGAAGGCAAACATTTTTTTCTGAGTTTTGGAAGGAGTGGAGAGGTATTAGAACACCTGTCAGTTTTTATTACTGTCTGTGCCCGTTACGGAAATTCACCCTCTCTGTTTGTCCCGTTTACCGTTATCATCGAAAGTTAAAAAAAAAAATTAATTTTGGGTTGTCCAAAGAAACAAGAATAGCAGGGAAATCTTCCAATAGAGACACTAATTCTGATGACACCCCAGGATTCCCTCACTTTAGAGGGATTTTCTCTCACTTCCTGTTTTGGATATAGGGCAGGAAGTTAAGGGAAAATCTCCCCAATGGGACACAGATGGCAAAAGTAAGAATTACAGGGGTTATAACCCTTCCTTATTCTAACCAAAATAAAAAACGGTTTGCCTTTATCTCTGCTTTAAAGTGGTATTAAACCCAGAATTAAATGTAATACACTGCTCAAAGAAATGAAAGGAACACTTTGAAAACACATCAGATCTCAATGGGGAAAAATATCATGATGGATATCAATACAGATATGGACTGGGTAATGTGTTAGGAATGTAAGGATGCCCCATCGTTTGATGGAAATGAAAATTATCAACCTACAGAGGACTGAATTCAAAGACACCCCGAAAATCAAAGTGAAAAAAATTATGCAGCAGCCTAGTCCATTTTGCTGAAATTTCATTGCAGCAACTCAAAATGGTTCTCAGTAGTTTGTATGGCCCCCACGTGCTTGTATGCATGCCTGACAACACCGGAGCATGCTCCTAATGAGACCACGGAAGGTGTCCTGGGGTATTTCCTCCCAGATCTGGACCAGGACATCACTGAGCTCCTGGACAGTCTGAGGTACAACCTGGCGGTGTCGGAAGGACCGAAACATGATATCCCAGAGGTGTTCTATTGGATTTAGGTCAGGCAAGCATGGGGGGCATTCATTGGTATCAATTCCTTCATCCTCCAGGAAATGCCTGCATACTCTCACCACATGAGGCCGGGCATTGTCGTGCACCAGGAGGAACCCAGGACCCACTGCACCAGCGTAGGGTCTGACAATGGGTCCAAGGATTTCATCCCGATACCTAATGGCAGTCAGGGGGGCATTGTCTAGCCTGTAGAGGTCTGTGAGTCCCTCCATAGATATGCCTCTCCAGACCATCACTGACCCACCACCAAAACGGTCATGCTGAACTATGTTACAGGCAGCATAACGTTCTCCACGGCTTCTCCAGACCCTTTCATGTCTGTCACATGTGCTCAGGGTGATCCTGCTCTCATCAATGAAAAGCACAGGGCGCAAGTGGCGGACCTGCCAATTCTGGTGTTCAATCGCAAATGCCAGTTGAGCTCTATGGTGCCGGGCAGAAAGCACAGGGCCCACTAGAGAACGTCGGGCCCTTAGGCCACCCTCATGAAGTGATTCTGATTGTTTGGTCAGAGACATTCACACCAGTGGCCTGCTGGAGGTCATTTTGTAGAGCTCTGGCAGTGATCATCCTGTTCCTCCTGGCACAAAGGGGCAGATACCGGTCCTGCTGATGGGTTAAGGACCTTCTATGGCCCTGTCCAGCCCTGTCTCCCTGCTGGGAGACAGCACAAACCTTCTGGCAATGGTACGTATTGATGTGCCATCCTGGAGGAAATGGACTGCCTGTGCAACCTCTGTAGGGTCCAGGTATCGCCTCATGCTACCAATAGTGACACTGACCCTAGCCAAATGCAAAACTAGTGAAAAACAATCAGAAAAGATGAGTATGGAAAAAAATGTCAGTGACCTCCACCTGTAAATCTATTCCTGTTTTGGGGGTCGTCTCACTGTTGCCCATCTAGTGCACCTGCTTTTAATTTCATTAACACGAAAGCAGCTGAAACTGATTAACAACCCCCTCTGCTTCTTAACTGACCAGATTCCAGGAGTTTAGATGACTTGATGCTATACTCTGATTAAAAAGTGTTCCTTTAATTTTTTTGAGCAGTGTATATTGCCAATCATTGATATGTGGTGGCTGCATTAGTTTTCTTTTTTTTAGTTTTTTTTCAGCAGGTGCTCTGGCCAGTAACTCACTTCCTGTATTATACAGACACCACTCTGGATGAAGGAGCATAAAGACACTTTGAACAGCATCATAGCCATTCTGGGGGGGGGAGGGGAGTGTTAGATGTACTAGTAGATTTAAATGCACTAATATATTGAAGATGAACTCCAGCTAACACTTTATAAGCAGTTGCAATAAACAGCGTTGCTCCTTTTGGGATAAAAGTTATATATATATATATATATATATATATATATAACCTGATTACTGTAAGCACCCCTGCGAGTGTTAAATGGTTTGTCTAATCTCTGAATGCAATACTTTCTACTGCAAGGCTTGTGCTTTTGTAAAAAAAACAAACTCATTGACTGGATTACCAGATGAGAATAAAGAAAAGAAAGCCTAAAAAAGAAAACAAATGCAGCTATCACATCTAAGAACTTTTAATATGGCTTTAAGACAAATACAACCCTGCAGGTCCTTGCACTACAAAGGTGTTGGCAGATTGTAAATTCCATTTGTACCGGTATTTAGCCACACTGAATCCCAAAGGTCACCATCTACAGATTCCTTTGGCCGGGAATGGCAGGGTCTGTTGAATCCACAATGACAGGATGTCAGTGGACGCAGCTAATTGTGAATGTAAACACAGCCCGTGATTACCTGCAGAGATCTTTGTGTGCGTTCAGCTGTCATTACTTCCGGTAATCACTGGCTGCGTGGACAGTGATGAAGAGTGGTGGCCACCTACAGCCTGTCATTATGGTGTGTGGGGCTATCTGCACACAGCTGTCAACCCCAGCCTCAGGAATCAGTAGATTCTAACCATTGGGAGAGCTTTACTAAAACAGCAGCTGTGCATGGTAGCCAATCAGCTTCTAACTTCTGCTTCTTCAATGAGGATTTGACAATAAAACCTGGAAGCTGATTGGTTACTGTGCAGAGCTGCAGCAGATTCTGTGTGCACCAGTTTTAGTAAATAACCCCCAGTGTGCCTAAATGCCAGTGTGAACAGAGCCTAAAGGGGATTGTACAATCAGATTGTACCGTGTGTGGTGAGCTTATCAGTGACATACTAGATATGTTATAACTGACACACAAATAATGAGAGATCTCTGATATCCCTCCTCCTGTTCTGGACATTACACAGCAGATCCTCGTATTTACTAACATAACACACAGCAGAGGCGGTGTCCTCCCTCACTGCACACCCTGTGTACGATCCCTTCCTGTAATAATAAATACCGGGCTGATCGCTCTATTCCGGGCATAGAACACACATCACCTGGAGGACAGCTGGAGGATCCCTGGGTAAAGGACACACACTTCCTACTACCGTACTGCTCCGAAGAGCTGCGCCTCCTCCCCTCCACACTCACAGAGGATTATACTGTGCTGAGCATGTATGCTGATAAATGTGGTCCTCCCCTATCAGGAGCATGTATTATATAACTTCCAAAGTCCACAGCAGCCTTTCCCAACCTTATCAACACAGAGGAACCCCGGAAATACCTTTCCTGTGTCCGGGAACCCCAGCTAAATATTACATATGTACAACTCAGGATACATTAGTGATGGTCAGTGGAAGAATGCTCCTTATACTTGTGGTCAATAGGAACAATTCCGCTCCTATAGAGAGCTAAAAAGACCAATGGTGTCAGTGGGAATGTATTTGAGGGGCAGCCATTGTTCATTGCTTAACCACTTGCCAACTGTGCTATAGCTGAAGGATGGATACAGCGTGGTTGTCCAGTTCTGGGAGGGTGTCATATGACGTCCCGGTGATCCTACGGACCAGGGGCGGACTGCCAACTCATGGGGTCCCTGGGAAATAGGGGATCATGGGGCCCCTGTGTCCTTGCCCACACTCAAAAAAAGCCTATAAAATGTACCAGGGGCATTTCATGGGGCCCCCTACTGACCCCAGGCCCTCGGGCAGTGCCCGTGTTCTCGAATGGTCAGTCCGCCCCTGCTACGGACACAGCTGATCACGTGCAGTGGTAAAAGGCCAATCACAGCGGCCTTTTACATTGTGATCCGCTGTGTCCAATGACACAGCAGATCACTGGGTAAATGTAATTGCTGGTTATCGGCTGCACTTTCCTCATGTTGTTAACTTTTTTTTTCCAGCATGAGGAAAGTACTGCCTATAACAGGCAATTGTCAGAGGATGGATCGGCACCAATCATCAGGGCACTGATGACCAGTGCCACCCAACTGTGCCCCGCAGTGCCACCCACAAGTGCCCAGCACTACCTAGTAGTGCCACCCACCTATGCCCAGCAGTGCCACCCATCAGTACTGACCAACAGTGCCACCCATCACTGCCCAGCAGTGCCACCCACCTGTGCCCATCAGTGCCACCCACCTGTGCCCAGCAGTGCCCCTCAGCAATTCCACCCATCAGTGCCCAGGAGTGCCATCCATCAGTGCCCATCAGTGCTGCCCAGCAGTGCCACCCATCAGTGCCAAGGAATGCCACCCATCAGTGCCCATCAGTGCTGCCTATCAATGCCCATCATTGTTGCATATCAGTTCAGCATCATCAGTGCCAGCTCATCAGTGCTACATATCCGTGCCACCTCATCAGTGCCGCCTATCACTGCCCACCAGTGCTGCCTATCAGTACCCATCAGTGCTCTATATATCAGTGCAGCCTCATCAACACACATCAGTGAAGGAGAAAAATTATCTGTTTACAAAATGTTATAAAAAACCTTTTTTTTTCTAATTGTTTGCTCTTTTTTTGTTTATAGCACAAAAAATAAATCACCCAGCGGCAAGTAACTACCACCCAAAGAAAGCTCTATTTGTGTGAAAAAAATGATAAAAATGTCATATGTGTACAGTGCAGGGGTGGACTGACAACTCATGGGGCCCCCGGGCAATAGGGGATCATGGGGCCCCTGTGTCCTTGCCCAAACTCAAAAAAGCCTATGAAAAAGGTACCAGGGGCATCTCATGGGGCCCCCTACTGACCCCCAGCCCTCAGGCAGTGCCCGAGTTTCCAAATGGTCAGTCCACCCCTGGTACAGTGTTGCATGACCGCGCAATTATCATTCAAAATGCGACAGCGCTGAAAGCTGGAAATTGGCCTGGGCACGAAGGGGGTATAAGTGCCCAGTAGGCAAGTGGTTAACCACTTCCCTCCAGAGGATTTATCCCCCTTCTTGACCAGGCCAATTTTTGTGATACAACGCTGCGTTACTTAAAAACTGACAATTGCGCAGTCATGCAACGCTGCTCCCAAATTAAATTTACGTCCTTTTCCCCCCACAAATACAGCTTTCTTTCCATGGTATTTGATCACCTGTGCGTTTTTTATTTTTTGCGCTATAAACAGAAAAGAGCAATATTTTTTACTTTTTGCTGTTAAACATATCCAGTTAAAAAATTTAAAAAATCAAATTTCGTCATAAATTTAGGCCAAAATGTATTCTACTATGTCTTTGCTAAAAAAAATCCCAATACATGTAAATTAATTGGTTTACGTGAAAGTTATAGTGTCTACGAATGCCGGTATAGATACCGGGATTTTTTTTTTCTTATACTAGTAATGGCAGCGATCAGCGACTTCTAGTGGGACTGCGGCAGGCATTCTGACACTGGGTGGGAAATGACTACCACTGACATCCCCAGTGACACTAATACAGTGATCAGTGCTAATAAAAAGCACCGTCACTGTACTAATGACACTGGGCAAGAGGGGTTAACATCTGGGGCGATCAAACGGTTAAATGTGTGCTGCTGTGGCCTGTGTGTGTTTTACTATGTAAGCATGCTGCTTTGTATTGTTCTGCTATGCAGAACAATTCAAAGCAGCATGCTGCTGCTGACAGGGGAGAGATCTGTATTGTTTACACAGACCTCTCCCCTGTCAGTGTTCCTCAATGATCGCCGTGTGGCGGCGGGGAATCTCCGGCTGGGACCCGGTGATCGACATCTGTAGCCCCTGGGCACCCCCTACCCGGAAATACAAAAGCATGTATATATATATATATATATATATATATATATATATATATATATACAGTGGGGATCGAAAGTTTGGGCACCCCAGTTTAAAATTTGTATTAATGTGCATAAAGAAGCCAAGGAAAGATGGAAAAATCTCCAAAAGGCATCAAATTACAGATTAGACATTCTTATAATATGTCAACAAACGTTAGATTTTATTTCCATCATTTACACTTTCAAAATAACAGAAAACAAAAAAATGGCGTCTGCAAAAGTTTAAGCACCCTGCAGAGTTAATATCTTGTACTGCCCCCTTTGGCAAGTATCACAGCTTGTAAACGCTTTTTGTAACCAGCCAAGAGTCTTTCAATTCTTGTTTGAGGTATCTTTGCCCATTCTTCCTTACAAAAGTCTTCCAGTTCTTTGAGATTTCTGGGCTGTCTGTCACGCAATGCTCTTTTAAGGTCTAGCCATAGATTTTCAATTATGTTGAGGTCAGGAGATTGTGAAGGCCATGGCAAAACCTTCAGTTTACGCCTCTTGATGTAATCCCCCGTGGATTTCGAGGTGTGTTTAGAAACATTATCCATTTGTAGAAGCCATCCTCTCTTTAACTTCAGCTTTTTCACAGATGGCATCAAGTTACCATCCAAAATTTGCTGAAATTTTATTGAATCCATTCTTCCTTCTACTTGTGAGATGTTCCCTGTGCCACTGGCTGCAACACAACCCTAAAGCATGATTGATCCAACCCCATGCTTAACAGTTGGACAGAGGTTCTTTTCATTAAATTCTGTGCCCCTTCTTCTCCAAACGTACCTTTGCTCATTCCGGCCAAAAAGTTCAATTTTAACCTCATCGGTCCACAGAATTTGTTTCCAAAATGCATCAGGGTTGTCTATATGTTCGTTTGCAAAGTTCAAACGATGATTTTTGTGGTGAGGACGTAGAAGAGGTTTTCTTCTGATGACTCTTCCATGAAGACCATATTTGTACAAGTATCTTTTTATAGTGGAATAGTGTACCACAACTCCAGTGTCTGCCAGATCTTTCTGGAGGGATCGTGCAGTCAAACGTGGGTTTTGAATTGTTTTTCTCACAATCCTGCGAGCTGTTCTGTCTGATATTTTTCTTGGTCTTCCAGATGTTGCTTTAACTTCCACTGTTCCTGATGACTGCCATTTCTTAATTACATTCCGAACAGAGGATATTGACATCTGAAAACGCTTTGCTATCTTCTTATAGCCTTCTCCAGCTTTGTGAGCATCAACTATTTTCAGTTTCAGTTTTCTAGACAACTGCTTAGAAGAACCCATGGTGCTGATTGTTGGGGCAAGGTCAGATGAGTCTGGGCATTTAAAACCTTTGAGATTGACATAACCTGGTCTTCCCAGATGATGATTGAGAACAATCCATGACACTGGCAGGTCTCAGCTTTGCAAAGGGGGCAGTGCATGCTATAAATTCTGCAGGCTGCCCAAACTTTTGCAGACGCCATTTTTTTGTTTTCTGTTATTTTGAAAGTGTAAATGATGGAAATAAAATCTAACTTTTGTTGACATATTATAAGAATGTCTAATCTGTAATTTGATGCCTTTTGGAGATTTTTCCATCTTTCCTTGGCTTCTTTATGCACATTAATACAAATTTTTAGCTGGGGTGCCCAAACTTTCGATCCCCACTGTATATGTGTGTGTGATTTTGCGCTGCCCTACCACCCTGTAGCAGTAGTTCTGCTATAGGGCAGTCGGGAATCTGTTAAAGTGGAACTTCACTCTCTAAGTCAATATTGACTATTTGTAATCCTTATGCTGCTAGCATTAGTAAATAGATAGGACCGTATATCATATTTACTTGTTTGAAACCTTTTTTGTACATTTCTTCAGGTAGTTCCTGGTTTCCATGCCTAGGGAAATGATGTCATACATCCCAGGAGTCTTCAGGAGGGGAGGAGGGGTTTTCTCAGCTAAGCACACCCTCCTGCTTGCATGCCTGAGCTAAGGGCAGATTGATTCCAGGAAGTAAATGCTACATGAATCATCTGCCCTTACTCAAGATGGCCACGGCCAAAAATGCTAGTGAGGTATTTTTCAAAGTGATTTCTCAGCAAAATAAAGCATGAAGCCATGGCTGGATGGAGGAGTTTGCTTTGAATAGCAAAAATGAATCGAAAAGCGTTTTTGATTTGTGGTGCTCAGATGCAGTGTAGGTTCACTTTAACCACTTCAATACCGGGCACTTTCACCCCCTTCCTGCCCAGGCCAAGTTTTATCTTTCAGCGCTCTCACACTTTGAATGACAATTACGCAGTCATTCAACACTGTACCCATATGACATTTTTATAATTTTTTGAGACAGAACGTTCTTTTGG